TAACAGCTCACAATCCAGAAACTAAACACAATCCCAATTTTTGGCAGTAGAGTCAACTTTGGTGAGAACAAAGCATTTTCTCAAACAGTAGAGGACAAGCAATTTCCTGATAGCAGAAGCCCTACCTAGGGGCCCTGGGGCCTGAGCTCAGGGCCACCCTGCATGGTGAGATGCTCTGGAGAGCTACGGACAGGGAGAGATAAGGGCAGATGGGGACTCCCCAAAGTCTCATAAAAAGCATGCTTTGATGGCATTACTGAAAACAAGAACATTATTATACAACTTACCCACTGAAACTCCCTCTTAGCTATAACTATTAAATAACCTATGCTTTCCTCAATGATTTAAACTATCACCCCACCATAAATCTGATCTATACTTCAGTCTTTCTCACACTGCCTCTTGCTGACAACCTTTTCTCCCTTGCCTTTCCTGACGTTGCCTTCTCCTGGATTCCACATGTCTCTGACAATTCTTTCGGTCCCCTTTGCCCCTCCCTTAAAAGTTGTGGGGCAGGGCTCCCCTGGAGACTTGTCCTGCATAACTTCCTGCATTTGTGTGACTTCGCTTCTCAGATGATGACATGCAAATGCTGGGTCGCCCCTGTGGTTGTGCAGGTTGGCCACCACACAACAGTGTCAAGCCAAGCAAGCAGATAGGGGTGAAATCCACTCTGCTCTCTGCTTGCCAAGCCATGCACCCACAGAGTGCCCCAGACTCCCACCTCCAGCCCAGATGTCCCTTGAATCACAGCACCATCCCTCCAAACATACGCTATCCATCTCTCCTGGAATGTCCCCCGAGGATCCATACATTCTATGTGGATTCATCTTCTTTCTTCCAAACCCGTTCCTTCCTGAGTCCCCTGTTCTCACTGCACAGCTGCGGCACACGAGGCAGAAAAGGCAGAAGAATTGGAGCACTCTTCCTTCCCCGATGTGAAACATCCTATCTGACAGAGTGCACCTCCTGCTCTCCAGCCACAGCTGTAGACGTGGAGTTGACCTCATTACTTCTCCTCTCATGTAGTCTGCCAGATTCTGTGCTTGCTGTTTTTAAACCCTTCACTCTGCTGTGCAAGCAACGTTGCCACACTGTTCTGATTGTGTATCCCACACTCTGGATGCCATCATGGCTTTCCACGGCTCACAGGGCAAAGTCCCAACTCCTCAAGGTGCCTCAGGGGGTCTTTCATGGGTCAGGCCCCTAACCCCTTCTCTCACTTCTTGCTTCCTTACCAAATACGTCAACCTTGCCTTGCTACCCTGTCTTTGCTCATACAGTGACCTCAGCAGGGAACCCCTGAGTCAAGCACCCCCTCTTTGAAGACTTGTTTGATACCTGGATAAAATTGACGATGTGATGTTCTCCCCTAAAGCCCCAGATTTCTATGCAAACACCCATAATGTTTATTGGTTTCTCGGTTTCTCTGACCCCATTAGAACTGTGGTCTTTGGAGGCAGAGATAGCCTCTCTGAGGATTCTGTGTCCCTACAGCCTAGCCGAGCACTGTGACAATCCCTGTTCCTAAAGTCCTAAGTGGGTTTGAACATAAGCAGATTAGCCTGAGCAAGGTAATACAAATGTAAGTTGCACTCTAAACCAGTTGTATTTGTAGGTGCTATAAAAATGAGGACAGAATGCCTGTTATGTCCAAGCACCCTCTGCGAAAGACGTGATTAGTGATTAGGGGAGATGAAGTATTTGGCAGGGAAAGGTGGACAGACAAGAAGAAGAGAGGAGTGGCCCATGGCAGCTTTAGCAGGACACTGGTGGCCTCTGCTTCCTGGGCAGTGGTACGTAGCTGTGGCCTGACTCACTGGAGAGAGGAGAGAAGGGGAGACCCAAGAGCTGGGGCAGAAGAGTGGATACAGTGGACTCAGTTGTGAGGAGGAAATCGAACATCAGGAGGTCAGATAAAGGCGGATGTGTTAAGAGCAAGTGGTTGTTCTAATAGGTACTTTCCTGCCAAAAGGCAGTGAGGTTCAAAACCTTAAAAATCAGCCCAGCAGCCAAACAAAACCACTCTAAGTAAGGATTCCAGACAAGACCCAGAGACAGCCAGGCTTCCCATTCATTCCCTTAGATGAAGGGGCAAAATCCTGAACATGATGCTCAAGGTCTACACAACTGCTCCAAACATGACCCAAACATGACTGTTTGCTAGGAGGAAGGAAATTCCCATTGGCAACCCTTTCCTCATCCTGCCTACCTGAGTTGAAGGAACCTCCTCCTCCAGGAAACTTCCCCTGACCTCCTAGGGCCTCAGCTGAACTTGCTTTCAAAACACCCTGGGCTTCTCCTTCACAGCCCTGCTCAGAATTGTAATCAAATATGTATTCATTTAGATTCTCTTTATAAGAAGAAGCCTTTGAGGGCAGGGACTGATTCTTCTTTATTTTTATATCCCCAGCATCCAACACTCCACCTGGAACATGTTTGAGGCCTACCAAGTGTCTGTTGAATGAAGAATCCAATCAAACAGATACAGAATGAATTAAACAGTGAATGAATAAAACTGGCGTGGGTCTAGGAGGCAAGGCCCAGGAGCCAGGGTCACTGTGCGCACATCAGAGAAGCCCGGGAAAGGGAAGTAGGGCCAGTCCTGCTGCAGAGGACAGAGAGACTAGAGCAGAGGCCAGCCACCAACATGGCCTGTGGGCCAACCCCAACCCCAGCCCCACCCTCCACTGTTTATCACACAGCCCGTGAACTCCTAAACTAACACTATCTTTCACATTTTTAAGTGGCTGAAAAAGACCATTTCATGAAATGCAAAAGTCATCTGAGATTAACATGTCGGTATCCATAAAAAAAGCTTTATTGGAACGGAGCTGCACTCATTGGTTTATGTCTTGTCCGTGGCTTCTTTCACATGACAGTGGCAGAGCTGAGTCGCTGTGACAGGGAAATATGAGTCTCAAGGCCTGCCTGCCTCTTTACCAAAAAAGTCTGCTGAACTCCGGCCTAGGGTCTCTTGACATTGCTGTATCCCAGGGCCCACAAAACGTCCTCACCCAGCGGCACATACAAAACTCTGGGCCTCAGAGAAAAGCTGCCACACGCCATCAGTTATGCAACATGGGACTTAAATGTCCCCTTCATAAAGAGGGGCTGGTTAAACTAATTGCATCACACATGAGCAATGACTACTACACAGCTGTCTTTAAAAATGGGTTAGGCTGGAATGTACAAGTACACAGAGATGTCCAGAGCACACTGTCAAAGCAATTTATAAAACAATATGGAGAGCATTTTCCAGTTTATTAGAAAGAATAACTGTATGTATGTTTAGAAGATGAGAAAATAGGAATATCTGGAAGAATATGTCTGGTAAATGGTTCTAGGGTATTGGACTAGGGATTTTTAATTTTAAATACTTCTGTACTCACTGAATTTTTTACTGAGAATATGCTGTTCTCTAATTTAACACACACACACACACACACACACACACACACACGGCGATTTTAGAAAGCCACTTTTACCGGCAGCAGGGATCTAAATTCTTGATGATCTCAGGATCATGCGGTCCAATTTCTGCTTTTTGGGGAACTGCACATAAACACTTTCTTCTGAAACTTAAAAGTCTGATAACAGTGCAAAGCTGCTCAGATATTTGTTTTGAGGAAGCTCAAGATTAGAATGGTCGGAAATAGTTCTACTTCCCTTTTCCTAGAAACCCTGGTTACTATGAACACCCCTCTCAAGCTCACAGAAGGCCAGATTGCCAGGGGATACAAACAAACTTGCCACCCGAGTGGCAGCTGCCAGCTGCTATCTCTGCTGTTCCGTCTCATAGCAGCTGGCTCTGTCACCAGGTCACCATGGGCAGGTTCATAATCATCCATCGTGTTAATGGTCCCACTGGGTGGGGCGAGGCGGCCATAAGACGAGGAAGGTGAGAAGCCAAGACAGAGCCAACAGGTAGATTTTAGGTTCTGCCTGGTCACACACATCTGATTCCTACTACATCTAACTTTCTGTGTTTCTAACCTTTGTTCTGTTGGGATAGTTTTCTCAGGGAGTCATGGAGGCCAAGAGTCAAGCTGTTAGCTGGTTTTGCTCTGCCCTGCCCAGCCAGAGGCCTGGGACACTCCTCTGCCCATCCTGCTGTGGTGACCTGCCACACCTCCTGCACCCTGCAGTTGGCCCCCGGGATCCTGGGGTCATCATCGGGAAGGCCCAGGAAGTCCGTAATACCTGGGGGCATAGAGGTGTAGTCTGGACTCAATTCAGAAATGCACATGGAACCTGTGTTTTCCATTAACATACCTAATCCATAAGTAGCCCCAGCATTTCCCAAAGAACATTCCAAGAAACACCAGCCAGTGAAAAAATTCAGGCAAGAGAAAGATGCTGTGAAGCTGGGAAGACTTCGCACTTGCAATGCCTGTTTGGGAACTTCTGCATCATTGGAAGATTTTGTTTATTTTTTAGAGAGAGGGGAAGGGAGGGAGAAAGAGAGGGAGAGGAACATCGATCAGCTGCCTCTCATATGTGCTCCAACTGGGGACCAAACATGCAACCCAGGCATGTGCTCTGACAGGGAATCAAACCAGCAATGCTTTGTGGGATGATGCCCAGCCAGCTGAGCCACACCAGTCAGGGCTTCTCTGTCATTTAGTAGATTCAAAATCCCAAGACAGCACACAGTAGCTAAACCTGTTCAACTTGACTTAAACTAACTGTTGACCATAGAACCTTTGCCACCCCAATCTGGAAAACAGTTCCACACCATGAAGTTGGGTTCGACCACCACACCCGAGTGGCTGGCTGTGCAGGTCTGAGGATGATGCCAACCTTGAAAGGCAGGTTTCCCAGTCAAGCAAGGCTCAGACCCCTACCACCCAGCACTGTGGGAAAAGCAGCATTTGGAGTATATTTCTGAAGAAAAAGTCTTTAAAAACTAAGAGGCAGAGGATGGAGGAGAAAACCTGCCCCTCCGGAGAGACAGAAACCCAGGGTTGGTGCAGGATGCTTCCCAGAGTGGGACTCACCATTGGTGGTTGTGTTGACATAGTAACGCCGGCCCTGAGGAGACAAGTAGCTTTGCCAGCCTGGCGGAAGGACGACGGTCTGGCTTTCCTCTCCGGGCGGAGGGGGGACCATTCCAGGCTTCTGTTGAGGAGGAAAGAAAAGGTCACACATGTTTGGCATTTTTGCAACTCATTTCAACCAGGAAGTCAGAGACAGATGAAGTCCCCTGGAATAGCTCGATGTTGTGGGGTATGTGGCCCACAGGCCTCCCTAAGGGAGGTCACAGGCCACACTTGAGTGATTTTGGTGGTTGTCAGGGCATGAGGTGTGAAGAACACTTGCCTCCTCAGAGTCCCCGCAGAAGGGACAGGATCCCCTAGGGCAGGGGTGTCAAACTCATTTTCACTGGGAGACACAGCAGCTTCACAGTTGCCTTAAAGGGCCAAATGCAATTTTAGGACTATAAACATAACTACTCCTTAAATAGGGGCAAGGACCTTGGTGCTGCCACCGGTTAGAAACAAGGTGGAGGGCCGGATTCGGCCTGGGGGCCTTGTGTTTGCCACCTGTGCCCTAGAGGACAGGTTCTCCTACAGTGCCAGTCAGTTAACAGAGCTGGACTTTTGCCTCTGTTACCCCTTAGAAAACCACTCCCAGGACTGCTGCCCCTCTTGCAGGGGGAGGTGCTGATGTCCTTGGCTAAGATAACAGCTTGAAAGTGAGCCTCAGAGACACGGCTCCCAGACGGCTCAGCTTTCTGCAGACCGTGAACCCATGTGTTCCTGTGTCCTGTGGGGCCTTGCCTGCCCTCAGCGGGATTGGCTTGGTCCTAGCTGCTCCAGGGACTTTGAGGAAACATGACCTCTCCATGGTCTCTGTGTATATTTCATTATAAAGTTTCACAATTTAATTAAAAACCTTTCCTGACACCCTGAACACTTCTGTCTCCCATGCCTGTTAACTTGCAGTGCCTCTTGGATTCAGCAGGAGAGACTGGCTTCTTCTATATTGCCCAGAGCTGGGGAGGTGAATAGCAGCCAGGCCAAGTGGTCTTCTCGCCAGCAGAGTGTGTCCATGGAGCCCAAGCACACACCTGAGTGTGCTCACCTGGGCCTCTCCCAGATTGGAAGATGGTCAAAATATATGCAAGACAAATAGCCTGATGATGAGTACAGTGTATGAGTGTGTGTAAAATAGTCCACATATAGGAGATACACATTTTGGCTGTGTAGGGTTGGGAGCAATGTAGAAATAGGGAGATCGGGAGCTTGACTGAAGAAATAAATATTCTAGAATCAGGTTGCTTCTACTTGAGACACAGCATGTGAAATGGGAAGACTGGACTGGGGCTTGTCCAAATTACCTGGGAGCGAATGGGAAACTGCTAAAGGTACTAAGCAAGGGTCAGAGACTGATAAGGCCAGAAGAGGTTGCAGAGGAGAGAGGAACCCAGGAGCACAGTGAGCCCCTCCAGCCTGGGGCTCAATCCTGCCTTAGCCACTGAGTAGCCCGTGACCCAGGAAAATGCCACCACTGGCTGCATCTACTTCTGCATGTATAAAACGAGGAAGATACTGGCCCAACTGTGCAAGACACTGAGATTAGCAATAAGAAACTCAGCTCTAGGAAAGTGCCTGTCACCAAGAATGCTCCATGCATGGAGGTTTCCGGTAGGAGGGGGGCTGTCTAGATGCCAGAAGAGACCAGGCATCAAGCAGCCTCTGCCTGCTATGTCATGAAGTTCACCCCAACCTCACCATCACTGCGCCTAAAATGTCACCATGAAGGGTCACTCCTCCCAGGTTTCTGTTTCCAAGACGACCTGACTGAAAAGGTGAACATGGGCCAGCTGGGGTGGCTAACATGTAAAGATGCTGACTACTGTGTTCTGGTGAAAAGGCAGGGTGGTGAGGAGAACTCTCCTGAGCTGCATGGGTTGAGCACACGGGCCGATCCTCCTGACCCTCTGTGCCCACCCAGGAAGTAACAACGAGACCTATCCCACCTCCACAATCGCACAGTGCTGGTCTATTTAGAATGGCTCTAGTTGATTTAGCTAAATAACCCCGTGGAGCCAGGAGAGGCTCTGGTTTACATTTGAGGACACTGATGACCAAAGAGGTACCATTCCTGCTACCTCTCTGAGGTCTCCCCACCTGGGAAATGCAGAACCCACCAGTGTGAACACTGTAGAAGATGCCTGCAGGGGAGGCCCCCTTGATATGGAGCCAGGAAGGGCCAAGGGGTGCTGAAAGAGGGGAGGAGGGCATCCAGGACAATTTGCTAATTTGCCCAATGTGGCAAAGGTGGTCTTTACATCCCTCTCCAGCACGGCTGTGGGCCCCCACTCTGCCTGCCATCTGACTGTGCTTTGCCTCCATCCCCTAAGGCAGCCAGTGTCCTTGCCTTTCACCTCTTCCGGGAAGCAGTTATTGCTGTTGGCTGGACTGAAACAAGCCAGGAGTCAAAAGATGTGGAGACAACTGGGTACACAGCCAAGATAAGCAAAAATAGTGCTCCCACGCTTGTACACCCATGTTCCAGCATTATCCACAATAGCCAAGAGGTAGAAACAACCCAAGTGACCATTAACTGATGAGTGGGTAAACACACACACACAAATATTCAGCCATCAGAAGGGATGAAGTACTGGTACATGCTACAACATGGATGGTCCCTGAAATCATGCCATGTGAAATACGCTAGACACAAAAGGCCAAATATTGCATGGTTCCATTTATATAAAATGTCCAGAATAGGAAAACCCATAGACATGGAAAGCAGATTAGTGTTTGCCAGGGGCTGGAGGGAGAGGGGTGGATACAGGATTTCCTTTTTGGGGTGATGAAAATGTTTTAGAACCAGATATTGGTGATGGTTGCACAAAACTGTGAACGTGTCAAAGTCACTGGTGATAAATCTTATGTTAGGTGTATTTTACCACAATAAAAAAAAAGTAGAAAGATGTAGACAAGGCAGAAGTGGGCCTCCCAACCTGCAGGTTCTCTTTAAGAGACACCAGCATTACCACCCCCGCCTTGGGGCATCGGGGTGCAGGCCCTGGGGAGGGCTGCTCACAGCCATGGAGAGGATACAGCACGAGTAAGTACCCGATAATTAAGGTCTCTGCCAAACTCATTCTTAGTTTGCTTCCAAGTTAAAGCCTTCCCTTCCTTTCCTTAGTCCTGTGGCTTCTCCCCCCTTCCATTTTGTCAGCTCTTTCCCATAGGAACAGGACTGAGAAGTAGGGGTGACACAGGCCCTTTGTACAAGGAACAAGGTCAGAGGCAGTGGGAGTGGGAAGAGAAGAAGGTGTTTTCCTCAGCTCAGAAATCTTTAACTGATTCACTGACAGCTTGCTGGGAGTTCTACAATGCTGTCTCTCTCCCAGAGGGCTGCCCCCAGCGTGCAAGGCTCAGGGTCATCCTCCCTGCATCCCCTTCTTCAGTAAACAACCCACCCTCAGAGAATCCAAGTTAAACGGGATCTTCCGCCCCCCCCCAAGTGGATGCATGTGTGTGCATACACTCACCCTGTCTCATCAAGAGGTCTCTAGGCTACTCCAGGGCCCTAGTGTAATAAGTACTCAAGAAATGGCTGCACGCAGATCCCATTTCTGCCCATCGATGATGACACTCACCAAATGTCGGTAAGTGGACAGGGCCTGGGTCAGGTGCTTTACACACTTGTTTCTAATCTGTACAGTAAGCCTGGTACATAAATGCCATTTTTTCCCCATTTTCAGATGAGGAATCTGAAACTCAGAGAATTTAGTAACTTGCCCCATGGTGCACAGACCAAATAAAACCAAACTTGAAAATGTTAGCTTTGTTCTAGATACCTCCATCCAGTTACCTAAATCCAGGCTACCCTTACTCCCTCTCCCCGAGCTCTCCGTAATCAACTCCATTTCTTCACCTGGTCCAGCTGACATCCTTGCTCCCACCCAGGCGGGGCGACAACTCAGGCCTGATTCCCCTGCCTGTCGCCATCTCCAAGAGCGCACATGCCTTCCCAGGAGACAGGCAAAAATATCACCACCAACATCCAAGCAGTCACGTTCCCTCATGGTGGGCTGACTTCCCTGTTTCCTTAGTTAAAATAACACAACTGGAGAAACTGTCCTTTTAATAATGGCCACTGATTTCCCTGGGGGGAAAATGCGCAGGCCAGCAAAGGGAAGTCACTCCGATATGAACAGAAATCCCCCTACAGCAGTGTTTTTCAAAGTGTGATCCCTGGGCCACCCCGTCAGTCACCAGGTATGTGGGTTAAAGTGTAGATTCCAGAGACCTGATCCAACCACACAAACAACCTGGAGCCTAGAAATCCACCTTTTAACATGTATCCTAGGTGAGCCTTATGCTCACTGAACTCAGAAGAGACGGGTTTGAAGCTTTAGAGGGAGCAACTAAGAGATAACACTGTTTCTGAAATTAAAACCGGGAGCATAAAATTTTAATAAGCACAATCTATAAGAAGATAGGGTTTAGCAACATGGCTACTTATTAATGAAAAGAATCCTGTCCCATAGCCCAAAGCTGTCAGGTGGATGATCTTCAGAGAGACTCAGCCTTGTCTGTGCAGGCTCCAGTTAGTGCCGACCCCACACCCAGCTCCCCACAGCCTCCCCCACTCTTCAGATTCAACCCAGGGCTCCTCCCCTCTCAGGAGGTTTCTGGGAGCACCTGATTCTTACCTTCTACAGGTGTGAGCAAACGTTACTTGCCGATGTTAACGGGTGGTTGTCAGACACTTGATTTAGCAGCCAGATCAGACAGTTTTAAAGCCCCCAGTACAGCGTCTTCTCACACCCCAAACCCAGAAGCAATAGAAGCTCTAAAGAAAGGCATATTCAGCGGGCCCCACACCCCCACTCCCAGATCTATATATAACAGGTCTGAAGTTGTCTGCCTAACAAGCCACTTTCTGGCAGCCCTGTTGCCATGGCAATGACTGCTAATGAGCCCAGTGCTATGATTGGCACTGCTTGAAGGCTCCTCTATAAAGAACTCTCCAGCAAGTTCCCCCTTCCACAGCCACATAGCCAGCTGGACACCCAGAACCAGGCAAGGGCATGGCTGCATGGGCTTGGAAGGCCTCATCCCTGGAACCAGTCCCTGGGAGCTCTGAAGAATCCT